TCTAAAACCGTTTGTAACATTAGTTAGTATCTGTGGTTCAAATGTTTAAACTAGTCTGTGGATTTACTCTATGGCCCTTCTTTTTCCGGTGCCGATTCGAAGATGTCGTGCTAATATGTGGCGCAGTAAAATAAACATAATTATAGAGATTCAAAGCAAGAGTTTCATTTAATTATGTGACAGTGGCGACGAGGATTTAAAAGTAATAATAACAAGCTGTTTGGTTACGTCCGCAGCTATAAGAATTTGTGAGTTGTTACGCCAACACACAATTTGGTTTAAAAAGCAATATGGCTACGGAGTCCGAAAAAGGTTGTAAGGTAAAAATGGCTGCTTCTGCGAATATAACGTTACCAGAATACGACTCAAGGAAATGTAAATGGACGGTGTACACTCAAGTTTTTGAAAATAAGATTTATGAAATAAGCAGGACCTTTGTACAAATTATTTCATCTATTTACATCTCTGCCATAACTCTGTGTACATAAATTATTAAATAAAATAAATAATAAATAAATAAGATGAAAATTTATAATGTCGAAACAGAAATGTATGCAAGATATCTGATGGCAAATGTGGGTTTCGAAATAGTTACATTAATTACGGAATTATGTTTCCCACAAAAACCAGAAAATAAAACTTATGAAAATCTAAAAGAAATGATAAAAAGACACCTAGAGCCGGGTCAATGTGAAATAGCGGAAACATACAAATTTATGAAAAGAGAGTAATTAGTAGGAGAATCGGTTGCGGAGTTTGTTGCGGCGATTAAAAAGTTGGCACAAACATGTAATTTTTAGAAAGAAATTATGCGAAGAAGCGCATTTAGAAAGAGCATTAAGAGACAAGTTTGTACATGGTCTCAGGAATGAGCAAACAATAAAAAGGCTATTTGGAGAAGAAAATTTAAGCTTCGCCCAAGCGGTAGACATTGCAGTTGGAATGGAACTGGTGGACAAGGGTGCCAGAATGGTTACAGGAGGTGGTAAAGTTCAAAAATTATCTGCATCATTTTCAAAGGAAAAGAAGGATAGTAAATGTTGCTGCGGAAGAATAGGCCATACAAAGCCAATATGCAAATTTAGAGAAGAAGAGTGTTATAAGTGCAAGAAAAGAGGACATCTAGCGGTGGTTTGTAGAGCACCAGTTAAAGGAAAGTGGAAGCCAAGAAATAGTTTTAAAAAGGTTAAGGAAATTAAAAATGATGATCCAGTTGAATACTCGGTTATGAAAATTATCTCTGATCCAATGCAGGAAGAAGAAAGTTATGCGTTAGAGAGATTATTTGAAGAAAAAGAATGTATGCCAGAAGTGAAGGAGGTAAGAAAAATTTACAAAATTGGAGATAAAAGGCCAGATTCTTGGTGTACAGTATTGAATGTAGATAATGTTGACATTTCTTTTGAGATTGATTGTGGTTCTGATGTTTACATTCATGCCTGAATGTGTATATAAAAAGTATTTCTCAAGTTTAAAAATAATTAGGAGTGATATAAAGTTGTCTGCTTACGGAGGCAGAAATATTACAGTAATTGGAAAAGTGACAGTGTTAATTAAAGTTAACAATAAGCTATATAGAGCTCCATTGATTATTGTTAAGGAAGGATATAAACCTTTATTAGGTAGAGACTGGTTAAATGTAATTAAGATTAATTGGTACCATTGTAAGAAACAATGTAAGTTAATAGCAAGTGAGGCAATAGATAGTAAAGTTAGGAATTTAATGGACAAGTATTTGGATATATTTTCAGGATCTGCAGGTGAAATTAAAGGATCATTAGGTAAATTAAAATCAAAGGATGTAGTGTCTCCTAAAGTATTTAAACCTAGGAGCATACCATATGCTTTAGAGAATGTAATTAAAAAGGAGATTGATAAAATAGTTATGGAAGGTAAATTATATAAAGTAAACAATAAAGAAGAGGTTTCATGGGCCACACCTATAGTTCCTATAGTAGTAAAGGGACCAAATAATATAAGAATTTGTGGAGATTATAAGGTAACAATTAATCCTTATTTAGAGATACCTCATCATCCAATTCCAGTAATTGAAGACATTTTTGCAAAACTTAATAAAGATGATAGTAATATTAAAACTGTGTTTAGTAAAATAGATTTGAGGAAAGCTTACATGAATAGAAAAATGGATGATGAGGCACAGAAGTTGATGACATTAACAACACCATGGGGGTTGTATAGACCAACTTTCATGATGTTTGGTATGTCACCCGCTCCCCAAGAATGGCACGATTTTATGGATGACAATTTTAATATGCCAAATGTCATTTGTTATATTGATGATATCTTAGTAGCTTCAAGTAATGTAGATAGTCACTTAGAAACATTAGAAAATATATTTAAAAAGTTAAGAGAGTTGAACATTAAAGTAAACAAAGAAAAGACAGTGTTGTTAAGTAAACAATTAGAATATTGTGAGCAGATTATAGATAAGGATGGTATCCATAAAACTCCTAACTATATTGAAGCTATAGTTAAGGCTCCTGAACCTAAAAATGTAAAAGAGTTACGTAGTTTTCTTGGCACAGTTAACTTCTATCATAAATTTCTAAATAATGCAGCACAGAATTTACAACCGTTATATAAATTATTAAAAACTACCGAACCATGGAAATGGTCTGATAGGGAAGCAAAGGCATATGAGTGGGCTAAGAAAGCAATTGCTTCAGACCAAGTATTAATACATTACAATCCTAAGTTACCCATTGCATTAAGCTGTGATGCGGCTAAGTATAGATTAGGTGCATGTTTAGCACATGAGTTAAAGATAGGGGAGAAATTAATTGAACGTCCAATTGCTTTTGCTAGTCGCACACTCAATGAGGCAGAAGTCAAATATTCTCAGATAGATAAAGAGGCACTTGCAATCATATGGGCTGTAAAGAAATTTGATTTGTATTTAAAAGGTAGAACATTCGTTACGGACCATAAACCATTAATCCCTGTAAATCCACTAGTAATATTTATGCGGACAGGATGTCAAGATGGGCTTTAATTTTAAGTAGTTATAGATATGTAATTAAGTATAGGACATTTCAAAACAATGCTGCTGCTGATTTTCCATCGAGGTTTCCAATTAAAGGGGAGACAGGTTATAATTGGGAGGTAGAAGCTATGGTCAACAGCATTGTTTGTGAGAATCCTTCAGTGACATTGACCGAAGTAACTAAAGATACTCAAAAAGATCCAATATTAAGTCAAGTATACACTTATGTAAGAGAAGGTTGGCCAAAAATTGTTAATAAAAGTTTGTTTAAATACTGAACTGTATTTAGACAGAATTGTAATACTTAGTACTTTAAGAAGTAGGGTGTTAACAGAATTACATACAGGACATTTAGGTATAAATAAAATGCAAGCATTAGCTAATAGTTATTTTTGGTGGCCAAATATGAGTAATGATATTAATAATTTAACAAGTAATTGTGAGGGTTGTAACCAAAACAGAAATTTACCACCAGTAAAACCAGTACATAGTTGGGAATGGCCGGAAGAGCCCTGGAAGAGAATTCATGCAGATTTTGTAGGTCCATTTTTAGGACACATGTGGTTAATTGTTGTGGATGCACACTCAAAATGGCCAGAGGTTGCCAAAATGAATGTTACTACCTCTAGTGCTACTATAAAATGTTTGAGAAGTATTTTTGCTAGATTTGGTTTGCCAGAGCAATTAGTTACTGACAATGGTCCACAATGGACATCAGAAGAGTTTATTAATTTTGGTAAGAATAATAATATTAGACATATTTTAACAGCACCATATCACCCAGCCAGCAATGGTTTAGCAGAGAGGGGGGTACAAACATTTAAGAAAGCTATGTTAGCTCATAAGTTTGATAGAAATAATATAGATTTTAGTGTACAACAATGGTTGTTAGCATATCGTACAGCTCCACATGCTACAACAGGTAAAGCACCTTGTGAATTAATGTTTGGTAGGCAATTAAGAACTCGCTTATCCTTAATTAAGAAAGAAAATATATTGTTATACCTAGACTTTCTATTGTTAAGAAACCTGTAAAGCAGTATTTACCAGGAGATAAAGTGCATGTAGCATCATATAATTCTGATAAGAAATGGTTAAAAGGTACTATTGAAAAGCCTGTTGGCAATTTAATGTATAATGTCATAACGCATAAGGGAGTACTTACTAGGAATGTCACTCAATGTTTGCCAGATCATTCTCAGGATACAAGTTCAGATTTAGATAGTATGTTAAATAAACAGGAGGACATTGCTAGTAGATATGAAGTTGTAAAATGTAATGTGGAATACCTGATAGGAAATTGGAAGAGTCTAATGTTGAATTTGAGTCAAAAACCGTTAACGAACCAATGATTAAAAATAGTCCTCAACAACCAATTTCAGATCAGATAAGGAGAAGCAGCCGTACTCATAAGCCAGTTCAAAGACTTGATTTATAAAAATTTTATGTAAAGGAAAAAGCTTAAGAAGGAAAGAGTGTAACATTAGTTAGGATCTGTGGTTCAAATGTTTAAACTAGTCTGTGGATTTACTCTATGGCCCTTCTTGTTCCGGTGCCGATTCGAAGATGTCGTGCTAATATGTGGCGCAGTAAAGTAAACATAATTATAGAGATTCAAAGCAAGAGTTTCATTTAATTATGTGACACCGTCGATAATTTATTTTTGCGTGACTGAGCCAACAACCTGTTGTAGGTTTCAAACAGTACACAATAAATAAAATGTCTTGTTGTAATTTCTTCTAGTTTATTTATAATAGTTATTAATGCTTTTTTCTTATTAATGTTTAGTTATTAATGTTAATTCGGGGGTAGGCGTACAAAAGTAACATCTCTGTTTTTATTTTCGTTTTATTTCATCTGTTTACATTAAAAGCACCTTGTCTTTTATATAAATCAGTCACAACAACATATGTGATAAAATAAATACCTGCTACAAAATGCTACTGCTTTTCCCTGCAACATTATCTTGAGCACATAACCAAAATTTTAACTCAACATGGAAAACATACAACAAGTCCTAAAATCGCAAGCTGCACTGGAAAAGTCCTTTAATCAACGCTTAGACGAATTTGAAGCAAGCCTCATAGGGTCACCAAAAGAAATGAACTTGAAAGAATTGAGTTCTGATTACATCAACTTCAAGAATTTTGTATGTTCGACATTTACATTCCTGCGGCAGCAAATTAACCAGTTACTTGCTAACGTAGACTCCATTGAGAGTAGACATAGAAGAAAGTTCTTGCTGATTGGAGGTGTGCCCGAAGAAGAAAATAAGAATGTTCGAGAATTAGCTGTCTCTGTCTTCACGAAGAATCTCGGCATCAATAACTGCACTGGTCAATCCCTGCAAGTATGTCACCGTCGTCCCCGTCCCATTCTCGTAAAGTTTGAAGATAGTGCAGTCCGTCGAGAAGTGTGGTCCAAAAAGACATTGCTCAAAGGCAGCCCCTACATGGTGTCTGAATATTTAACACGTATGAGGCAATCACTTTTCTTAGAGGCTCGCAGACTCTTTGGAATCAGAAATGTGTGGACTCTAGACGGAGTGATTAATGTCAAGCTTCCTGGAGGATCCCGCGCCAAAGTGTTCTCAAACAATGATTTGCAAGAGCTGACCGCCCAACACAAGGCTGAAGTTGAACCGGTCACCATGCTTCCTGTCTCGGGAACCAGCTCCAAAAGAGAAGGGCCTAAGGCCAGGTCAGCTACTTCGAAACGCACGATCAGTAAGAAGGTGTAATTAAACTTGATCCAAAGACGCCTTAGGTTATCATAATTAGTTTTAGCACTGTGTTTTTATTTTATATATTCTTATTGCATTTCTTTTTTGTTCCTTTAAATTTATTAACATTCAAGATGCATTTTTATCACATTTAAAATAGTTGTTGTTGTTTGTTGTTTATCTAAATATGATGTCAAACGTCATCATTGTGATTGGGCAATATTATTTAGAATAGTTTAACGGGTTGGAATTTCTGTATACAGCCTATTCATTGGGATTTCACCATACAGCCTAGTCCCATCTCAAGTTTATCAATAATTCTACATTGTAACTATTGGCTGATCAAATTATATAACGTTTACCTATATTACGTGTGTGACAGTTTGTGTAATCATTTTTTATTTAGGAATAATTTCCACTTTTCAAAAGTACCTATAACTAATTTGGTGCTCTAAATTATGTCATTATGTTGTTTTTTTTTTTTCTTTTTAAACACTTAGCATTTAAATCGTTTTAATTTGTAAGGCAGTTTAGCAGGTAAAACGTATGAATATTTTGTTTTATTATTTTTTACATAATTTACTAATTTCAAATTATTTTATTTTATGTTTATAACTTATTACTATATTAATTATATAATATATCATAATTATTGCATAAATGTCATCAGATGAAGACTCATTTTACTCAGCTTGCGATAGCTTTTCTCCTGATATTACTTCAGCCACAGACATTTCTTTTGTTGGCAATGTAGGTGATCATTTGCGCGCCAAACTTTTTTATACGAATTCTTTAAACATATGCCATACAAATGCTCAAAGCATCCCTGCACATTACTCAGACCTTCTCGATACTTTTTCGGCCGATCATACTAATGCATTACTTATTTCAGAATCCTGGCTTAAACCTTCTCTTTCTTCCGCACTGTATAGTCTTCCTGGATACGTCCCAATACGCTGCGATCGCACTGGCAAAGGTGGCGGCGGAGTCGCAATATACTTGCGAGCGGACTTTACGTATAATATAATAGCTATGTCACCATCAGAGTATAGAGAATCCGCCGAGTACCTTTTCCTAGAGGTAGATGTTAAGGGTGCGAAGGTTGTGCTCGGAGTGGTCTACTGCCCCCCTCGACCGATTATTTTTCGCACCTTGAGTCTATTATCGACTCTGTCTGCGCAATCAACAACCACATTATAATCATGGGAGACTTCAATACCAACTTATTAAAGGATTCTCCTCAGGTTCGCAGACTTAAAACTATCATAAACTCGGCGGATCTCTCGATTCTGCCATTAAACGCTACCCATCTCAATATAGACGCTGAGGATTCGTGGTTAGACATAATATGTGCCAGTTCGACAGATCATGTTATATATTATGACCAATTAGCTGCCAGCTCCTGCGTTTTCTAGACATGATCTGCTACTGTTATCTTATAGATTGAAGCCTCCCAAGCCCAAACCAACTATTGCATATGTGCGTAACTTCAACAAGCTCGACCTCATTGCACTTGGGAATGATGCCAAAGATATTGACTGGGACCCTAGGAAATTAATGATATCACGACAAAAATTTCTTATCTGAACACACAAATCCTCGGACTATATGACAAGCACACACCAGTGCGAGCAGTGAGATTGCGTCGCCCACCTGCACCATGGATTACCGATGAAGTGCGTAGTGCAATGACAAGAAGGGACCGGGCTTTTCGTGTCTACAAGAAGAATCGAAACAGTATATATTTTGAACATTATAAGCGTGCTAGAAATCGATGTAATCAGGTGGTAAGAACTGCTAAGCGCCGCTACTTTCACAATAGTATTTTAAACTCCTCTTCGGCAAACGTATGGAAGTTCCTTAACTCTTTGGGATTTGGAAAATCACATACCTATTCTCAGAATCTAAGTATTTCGGCTAATGAACTCAACAAACATTTTACCTTTGCTTCTCCCTTGTGTCATTTCATTAAAAACGTCTACTCTACAGGAACTCAATTCCATGCCGATTTTATCCAGTATACCTTTTCACTTTCATCCAGTGACTGACGAGGATACCCGAAAAGCTGTAATATCCATAAAATCCACAGCAACCGGCCATGATGAAGTGAGCAGAGCTATGATACTTCCTATACTTGACCGAATTGCTCCAGTTCTCACCCACATCATAAACTTCTCACTGTCTTCTGGTGTTTTTCGAAGACTCTAGGGAAGGTCACACTTGACCGTATTGGTCCTTAGTGACTTCTTCAACGCATTTAATTGTGTCGACCACGATCTGCTACTTAGTTTACTTTCACGGCTAAATTTTTCCTCTTCAGCACTGGACTGGTTTTCCTCTTATCTTCGCGGTCGCCAGCAAGCTGAACGGATAGGTCAGGATATTCCTGACTGGTCGGACTTGACTGCAGGTGTTCCGCAAGGCGGCATACTTTCTCCCCTCTTATTTTCACTGTTTATTATACTTCTCACTAACCATCTTCAATGTTCTTACCACCTCTATGCTGATGATCTTCAGCTATACTCACAATCGCTCACTGGTGACATTCATACCGCAATTTCTCGTGTTAATGGTGATCTGAGTCGTATCTCAAGCTGGTCCAAGCGCTTCGGAATAGTCTTAGCTACTTAATAGTACTTACTATGTATGAACATCTGAAATGTATTTATGTGTATATGTTTGTATATGTATGTATGTGTATATATATATATATATATATATATATTTACGTTGTCAGTTTTTACATTTATTACCTAATTATTACATATTATTTATTTAATTATGTATCGAATATAACTACTTTACTGCCCTTGACATTTTGTTTCTGTTCTACCTAGGGTTAGCTGGTAGAGAATGCAATATAGCATTAAGCTCGCCTTTGGACAATTTTCTGTGCAATAAAGATTAAATAAATAAATAAAATGCTTAATTAAGATACACAGCGAGAGACGAGAGTGTAGGGTGCTCACAAATCTCACATACACACACATATTCAAACATACAACCATTTATGATATATTAAAACTCAGGTTGGATTTGGACTACAATTTCTTTATTAAATAAAAGTATACGTATTCTCGCCTCGATACAAGGGAGTAGAATGCCCGGGCGCAGGACCACACCCTTCTTTTTCTATGCGCTCAGTTGTACCACATTTAAATTGTCACAATGTTTCAAAAGAGTTTATACTATTATATTGATAAAATTGACAAAATATATAACTTTAACTTATATAATTTTAAGAAGCAAAACTAAAAAATAATTGCGTAATATTACTATTTCACAGAATAATGGTAATGATTTTGAGTAACAATACAACAAGTTTTTTAAAAAGGCAAGACATTAGTCGCGTGCATAAATAAGGTTCCTTTTTAAATATCAAATTAATAAAATCAATGTGTTTTACAAAATTATTAGTTTTGTTAGCAAACATGAATTACTTTAAACAAATATTTTTGATTTCTAACAGTCGGCTATCCTGACTTTTGTCTGACCACAGGCAAACTAACATGTTTTTTTTTTAATTTGTTTTTTTTTTTTAAAGGACGGCATAAGAGTAAACTTAATTAACTTAAACCTACATAATAACTTAAAACTTAATTACATGTAATAAGTTTTCGACATATTTTTTTTATTTTATATATATATATATATGTTCAATTCGGCCATCCTGTACGGGTTGAATGGCCTCATTCAAATTAAACGCATGAAGGTAATGAATTTAAACATATTAGGTTAAATATAACTAAGAGAATAAACGAAGACAAAGAGGAAAAAAACATTAATTAAATCTCGCTTGAAATAACTATTAAACCAAGGAATACGCAGTTTACACACAAAAGGTTTTCTCGGCTTGTAGGTCCATCAGAATATACAGCGTGTCGTTACCATCGCGACAATAAATAAACACACATATGGGGGATAACTTTTTAAAGTTGTATTAAATATTTAAATTCTTTAAACCTCAATATTTACAGAGTAATTAAATTTTCCAAAACAAAGAATTTTAGAATACCCTTACCTATAAAAGCGTAACGTAAAGTTCATTTGTAAAGGTCACAAAACATATGAATGGGTTGAATGAATTTAAAAGAGACAAAACATACTGTTAGAAGGAGAGGCTTGTAATACGACGCTGTGGCGCGGTTGTATAGGATGTTACAAATTTTGTTTCTTTTTTACTTAATTAGTTTGTTTCGAAAAATATTTTTTTTATTATGGATTTTATTTAACGTTAATATTTTTTTATGATTATTGGCAAGTAGCGTTAGACGTAGGTTCATTTATTGTCGCGATGGTAAAGACTCGCTGTATAAATAGCTTGATGGTATACTGATCGCGCACACCAGGCGTGTCCGCTTCCTAACTTCACTTGGTTGTATGTACTGTTACGATGTGGTTTCTAAGTCCATTGGTTTTGCATCTTGATAGTATACCGCTTAGGGGACCACCTTGTTGACCACCTTGACCACCTTGTAGGGACCAATGTACGGTAGGACTAATTTATTACTGTCTCCGCAATTACGTGTATTCTTTAGTGCCATAACTAGATCGCCTAATTTATAATTACACCTTTTTCTGTCAAAGCGGGCTTTCATTATTTCCTGTTGCTTATTTATGTGAGATGAAACTTGCTTGCGAGTTTCTTGGATTTCTTCGTCCAACCTTAGACCATCTGATATTTCATGTAAATGATTTTCGTTTATATTTACCGTATTTTTTCAAAAAACGATTTGAGCCGGTGTTTTTCCTATGCCTTTGTTAAGAGTGTTGTTTAAACTCCATTGGACTTTATCTTAATGGGTATCCCAGATTCGATCATCGTTATCGATATTCAGTACCATAAGAGAACTGAGAATTGAACGGTTGTATTGTTCAGTTTTGCCATTTGCACGCGGCGTGGCTACGGCATTCTTTACATGCTTTATTTGATAAGAGTCCACAAACTTCCACAACTCATTGGACGTAAAGCTAGTTCCGCGATCGGATATCACTACTTTTGGTGAACCAAAAAG